CACTTTGCGGATGAGGTTGGACACCCCTGCTCTATGTTATGCTAGCAGTCAAGCTAATGGTGCCACATTAGTTTTCCCACACTGGGTTTAAGGGCTGGTCGATTCAAAACATGAATGGGGAAAGACGTCCAGTTACGGAGCAAGTCCCACCCTTAGAGAAAGAGAGCCAGTCAGCTTTCGGGTTAGTCAATGATATTGTGGGGTAGGCAGGGAAAGCCTAGCAGCTAAAGCAGCCAGAAAAAACACATTTTGTGTGTTATCTGAACCAGATGCTACAAACTATTGAGTTTTTTGTCAGATTTTATCAGTGTTTATTTTATCAAGATCATTTTAAATGTGTGTTTGAAACAGTAATCTACGCAGCCCCACTGGTGACGTCCTGTAGAAATAAAATAATGCCACAACTTAGCAAGGCGTGATCTCGTTTCTACGCCTTACTAAGTCATGGCCACGCATCGGGATCTCATTCCCACGCATTATTTTTATGTATACGAGATGTCGCCAGCAGGGCCCTCAAGTGTTTTGGTTCGGTTTTGTATGGTTGGAAATAACTGCCCGGTGGCGTTGAAAAGATGGCAGCTGAAAGAGACAGACTTTCCTATACAGACTTTGGTTTTATATAGAGGTGTGTGATATGGCAAAAATAACACAATAATCTTTTTGAAGTTTCACAATAAACGTCACAATATTTATTTTTACAGACATCTGATCAGCTGGAACTGAGAAAAAAGAACCAGTAGAGCTACATTCTAAAAAAAATACAATCAAAAACTGAATGACTATTTTATTCAATATTTGGCACTAAATCCAGGTAAACAAGGCTAATTTTGCTGTCTTTAATGAAACATGCAGTTCTACAAGTACTGACGATATACATATGTTTAGAACAGCATATTGTATTGGGTCATAAATTTATCACAATAACAATATACACCGATCAGGCATAACATTATGACCACCTCCTTGTTTCTACGCTCATTGTCCATTTTATCAGCTCCACTTACTATATAGGTGCACTTTGTAGTTCTACAGTTACAGACTGTAGTCCATCTGTTTCTCTGCAAAATCCAGCAGCACTGCTGTGTCTGATCCACTCGTACCTGCAGAACACACACTAAAACACCACCACCACGTCAGTGTTACTGCAGTGCTGAGAATGATCCACCACCCAAATAGTACCTGCTCTGTGAGGGTCCTGACCACTGAAGAACAGGGTAAAAGGGGGCTAACAAAGTATCAGAGAAACAGATGGACTACAGTCTGTAACTGTAGAACTACAAAGTGCACCTATATAATAAGTGGAGCTGATAAAATGGACAATGAGCGTAGAAAAAAGAAGGTGGTTATAATGTTATGCCTGATCGGTATATACCATCATATTGCCCAGCCCTAGTTTAATACTACTTAAGGCAGATCTGACCAAAAGCATTTGACGCTTGTGAGAAAAATGAGCATTTTCTTAATTTGTATGTTACATGTTCACAGTACACAACTATTAAGGAGCTCACTATCTAAGTTGATCAGCATAGTTCTAGTTGTTAAGAAAGGTTTCTCAACTACTTGAGACCACCGGTGGTTCCAAAACACACTTCGTCATATTCTTCATAACTTTCATATTTCATAAGCTACATTCTAAAGGTGGGGGTCGTATGAGGCTGTAACTGTCTTCTTTCCAGTCAAATAGATGGGTGATGTAATTTTAAACCCTTATAATAAAAGAAGCTGAACTCAGTTTTTTTGTCTACTGAAAGTCGACCCATTTTTCCACAAATCTGGGCTATAAACTATAAACAGATGGCGTCTCTTCAGTGATCTGCTCTGTAAAAATTATTTTTGTAACAAAATAAAGATCGTCTAAAACTTTTTGGCTTTCAGCAGTAAATTGCAAGCATATAGTGATATGTTTGTGATCATAAAACACATTTTCTGTTAATTTGAGGGGAGCTTTCATGCAGTTACTGAATCATTTGCCTTACGATTTGGTCATTTAAATTCAGATGGAAAAACCAAAATATACCCACGAGTGTAAGAGCGTAATTTCACATTTACAGACAGTTTGCATGATGCAGCATTCAAACAAGCACCGCCCTGATAAAGGGGCTCAAGAAAACTGTACTGGTGGGATTCAGCTGAACTTGCTGTGTGCATTTGAGTCTGCAGAGAGGCTGGGATCCAAACATGGTTGATGACAGAACTGAGCTCATCAGGAACACCAGAAATAAACATGCAAACAAAAGCAAAAAATATGAAAATGCATGTCCATATTTTAAACTTGAACCATGTTCTATACTGTTCATTTCCGTTATTCTTTGCACAAAAACCGTGTGAGCAGTTTCACGTTACACTTTCCCTCTTCAAGCCTCACCCAACCAGAGGAGAAAGCAAAAGCTAGTTAAACTGGTTTGACAACAGCAAAGCTGGGAATATTCACACTCAAAACAGTGAAAAGTGACAAAATGAATATAAATAAAAAGAATGATAATTGATATGGGCACCCCTTAGCTTTTAATTGAACTTTGCACTTGTTTTTTTCTGTAAATAAAATTAAACCGTGCTAATATAGATTTCACTGCTGATTAGTTTTCACTGAACCGTCCCCATCTGGCACAAAGAGCAACATTAACACAGTCCCATTATGAGTAAAGGGAACTTTTTAGAAGTTAGTTATCTAGAATCTCCGTTAAACAACCCATCAGTGGTTTTACTTTATAAGCCGAGGCTTAATCCTCTGGAAAACACCAGTTTTCCTCTGGTCCTTACATGGTAACCTCTGAGCAGCCTTTGAATTACTGAGATTTTAACACAAGAGGCCTGTTGGCACAGGTACTCTGTTCACACTGCTGCCATTATGACCCATTTGAGAATTACTCTGCATTAGACGTTCTGATCTAATAGAGCATTTTAGCTCAAGCAGCCCAGAACTAAAGGAAACAAACATGGCTTTTCCCCAGATTCTCCCAAAACTCAGCTTTATTTGAGATTTCAGCTCCCCCCTCTGGCCTGACCACTCTCCACAGGTCTAAAATAAACAACGCAACACTGAACAGGGAGGGGTGGATTACATTGTTTTTCTACAATTTATGCTTAATAAATGGTTAAAAAGTGAACAAAGTCATTGTTCAGAGTGGTTTGGTGTGAAACGCTCCGTTCTAGAGAAACTTACCGAGCCAGAACTGTTCACAGTGGTGGTGATAGGAACCAGACGTCCACCTCTAAAAGCTCCCTCACAGAAAGTTACTACATGAAATGGTTATGAATTCACTGCCTGATGACTGAGACACTGTTTTACAACAGTTTTGAAAGGATTTCGGTCTTGAAATCCTTTCACGGTGGAGGGAGACATGGTATGCAGGGTGTTGTGAGGCAAAATAGTCCCCAAAGAAAACGTATTATTTAAGATTTTCCACTATTTTCCCATCAACATTGCACATAAACTCAGAAGACTCACATAGGTTCACTGGAGGTTTTGGATAGGAAATAAAATGGCTGTGTCTGTCTATATATGGTGGCCCCTGGTTCCTATCACCACCACTGTAAAGACATCTGAACCATTTCACACAAACCACTCAATCTCCAACCAAATTATGCAAAAATTGAGGTAAAAAAAAATACGTTTCGCTCTGCTTAATGGCAAGAAGTGAAGAGCAAAAGCATACCAACATAAAAAGGCCGTCCAGGACACCCCAACCTTTACCATAATAATAATAATAATAATAATAATAATAATAATAATAATAAAACGTTATTTTCCTTGGTAAATGACTCTGGAACACCCTACACAGCACAGTTCAAGCACAAAAAAACAAAAATACATTTATTTCTGGTTGGAATAGATTTATTTGATCTGTCTGTAAACAAGGTGGTTAATTCATGGCATTTTTTTTTCCCCACGCAAATTGAGTTTGTATATCGGCTGGTCAAATATATTCAGGAGTATGAAAGAAGGGAGCGAAATGAACATGATTTCGTTGACATGTTTAACTTTAATCTGTACATATTCCACAAGCCCTGGAGAGTTTGAATTTACGCCAAATATCCCAAAGAAGGTGCCATTCGAGAATTGACTCCTTACAAGGCAGCGGTTTTAAAATCCATCTCACAGTAGCAACAGATCAGATCTACATTATGGCACAGGATACACAGCTTTTTTTTTTTTTCCTTTTTTTTGATTAAGTTTCCACAATACAACTGACTAGTGGTCTTTTTCCAACTAATACCACCATAACCCAGAAAATTTAGTGTATACAGTTTACTTCAGTGTCTTTTCTTGCCTATTTAATGGTAAAGTATTTGTACCGTGCTATGACAGTTGATACATCGCGGTCGAATAAAGCACAAGGTAATGGATTCCAAATGATCTTGTTTGCTGAAAATTTACAGATTAACAAGAATCTGAAAATTAAAATAAAAAAAAGGAAAGTGTTAAGGAAATTTGAGTGACCCAAAGTTAATAAGACTGCCATTTCATCTATTCAAGACATTCATGAGGAAAAAAAAGGTAGTTCACCATTAGATCTTTTGCTTCCCTCCCCCAAGACATTTATGCCATTAATGATAGTGTATAATCACAAGGTTAGTGTAACGTTGTGTATTCGAAAGTGTTGGATTTTAGTGTTCTAACGTCAGCAACAGATGAACCTAGCAGTCATCCTTCATTAAATTGGTAGCAGTTCTGTTAATCCCCCAGGATGCAAGACAAAAACAAAAAAACTAAACAAAATAAAATAAACATTGGTCCTACTGGAGGAAAAAGAAAAAAGGACACAATCAGGTTACATTGGGAGGGCAGTGCTTTAAACAAAAAAGGACAAAAAAAAACTGGAGGTGGCAAACAGTAAGTGGCTGAGCTATAGTAGCGGTGGAATGTCCTTACAAAGTCCAGGATGCAAGTGCTCCAGAGAAGCGTCGTGGTTTTCATTTAGTTTTCTGTTTTTTTTTCTTTTTTTTTAAACCCAGAAATCGTAAATGCTGATCTGCCATCACACTCGAAGTGAAAGAGGATCCAACATTACACCAAGGACTTACAAGACCACATCCAAGTACAACAGCAAAAGCATCTGATGTAGGGCATTAATCAATCAAGAAAAAAAGAGCATAAGGTGGTCAGGTGTCTTTAAGGGGAGAGAGAGTAAATAGGGATTATAAGGATTTAAAATAAAAAAAAAAAGTGTAGTGTAAAAGCCAGTGGTTCAATTTCGACTATTTTGAACAGTTGAAATGTGGAAGGTTGTTTGGGGGGGAGGTTAAAGTTAGTTATAGTTTCCGGGGGGATCGATTATAATGATATTAATGCTAAACGATAGATATGCATGCACTTTTTCCCCCCTTTCCTGGGCATGCTGTGTACACTAGGAAGACAATAACAGCTCAGCAAGGCTCAAAGCACTTGCAGAGGCATCGATCTTGAAAAGACAGACCACTTAGTGCCTCAGGAAAACTGGACAGTGACTTCGTTCGTTGGTAAACGGAGGCTGCGCTCCGAACGTGGGAGGTCCGATTGTTTTATTTTAATGCTCCGGCTTTCGTGAGATGTACAGTACTGGTGTTTCTAATAAGCCTTTGTAAAATCAACGTGCTTGTTTTTCTGTGGCACTACAAGGGACGTGTAAATATGCTGGATAAACACAAAGGGCGGAGGTGGAGTGGAAGAGGTGGTGCGGGGTTTGAAAATAAAACAAATTGGGGATGGGGGGTCAACGATGCATCCACTAACTGTATCTGGAAGTGCTGTCAAGGCGACAAGAAGAAGACAAATAATAAATGGGGGGAAAAGGGTGGTGGGATGTGTTACAGTGAGAGCTGCTGTGTGGATGGATGGGTTAAGGGCTGCTTCAGTATCCAACTTTCCTCAGGTACTCAGCCATGCTAAATGCTTTCTTGTTGAGCTGTCCTCCGTGGATACCTTCCTTTCCCATGACTAAAACCAATGCTGGAGTACATAAAAAGGGGAGGGGGGGGGGAGGAAGAGGAGGAGGGGGGAGGAAAAAAAGAAAAAAAAGAAAAAGAAAGAGAAGACGACAAATGAACGAAATTGAAAAGAAAGAAAGTCTATCCCCCCCGTAACACGGGGAACATTATAGGATCTTACCACCATTCTTCTCTCGATTGCTATTAAATTTTTCCAAGACATTTAACTGCTTGAAGGAGAAAGCTTAACAGCAAACCTCTCTTCTTTCTGTCCCTCAAATTGAAACTAAACAAGCTTTAATTACATTAGAACCCTGAATCCCTCAAGTACTTTGCCATTGAGTATGCCTTCTTATTCAATCCGCCTCCATGGACCCCTTCTTTGCCCATTACAAGAACCAAGACTGAAAGAGAAAGAAATAGAAAGAGAAAGAAAGAGAGAGAGAGAGAGAGACAGAGAGAGAGAGAGAAAGAGAGAGAGAGAAAGTTGAGAAGTGGTGCAGGTTAGGAAAAAATATTATAAAAGAAAAAACAAAAAAATCATCAAAAAACAGAAGAAAGAGAAATCATTTGCAGCTGCAAGTCAAGTGTTTGCATGCCCATGCCTTCGATTAGCAACAAAGCAACCCAGAAATAAGAAAGTCAAGTCAATCAAATCTGGATAAGATAAGATTTGGAACCTGATTGAGCATCAGACACATTTAAAGAGCACAGGCAAGAGGATGTGTGAAGGGGAATGTAACTCTGGGGCAACAGAGGAAAGGGAAAAACCCCCTAGCAAAGCCAGAGAGAGAGGACCGAGAGTCACAAGGAAGCAAACAGTCTTTGTTTTTAACTACGGTTGTGAGTTACTTCATTAAACTCCAACTATTAACTTACCTGCAATGAATTAACTGGCCAGACTGGCACTCCCACTTGTGTTTTTCTCTTTCAAGTCTTTTTAGAAGTTCAGAGTTGTACTAAAAATACTAATACAGTATTCTCAAAACTTTGGTTTGTCACGGTTCGGTCCTTTTTTTACTGTGCCCCTTTTATTTAAGTTGATTAAGCGCTGCCATTTGTAATCATAATCAATCTTGTCATGTCATCTGACGCAAGCTGTTGCATATTAATTCATTCAGAAAACGCCTCGCATAAGCCCTGGGATTCCAGAAAGTTCACCTTAAGACATCTATCTGAACTGGGCATTAGGTTAAGAGCGGCTAATCCCATTTATAGCTCGCTTTATGGATGCCTGTGGGCAGTCTATGAGTGGACAACTCAATTGCAGGCACATTAACAGCGTGCGGAGCAGTCTACATCGGCCGAGGACGTCCATTTTTGAATGACAATATCTGGCTGTGTGGACTGAGCTGTCTGGGAAAGAGCTTAACCCATTGATAACCATGTCTATGTTATGTAGGTGCAGGTCTGAAGAAAGGTTTCAGATTGGCCAAGCCATTTAGGTTGGCCAAGCCAAAACACAATGGGCTAATGAGTTCAAAATGTCCAAATTTCTTTGAGAACAAAAGTTTAGACGTTATACATACTACAAATCATATGGGTACTGTCAGATGCTCATTCAAGTTACTACCAGTACACCAAATTTCGTCACTTTAGCCCAGTCAGAACAAGCTCTACCGCATTTTTTCACGTTGCACTAAAGGTAGTGGTTGGACATGAGCTGGTTAATGTCATCTGCAGTGAAGTTCAAAACAACAGGTAATACACAAGTGCAAATGAATTGCTGGGAGGGGTTATGGACGCTGCAATGACAAACCTATTCAAAAAAGCTGAGTAAGGGCAAGTCACCGCGACTGCCTTCAATTATTAACGATTTGTCTTAATTCCTTAATTGCTGAGAAGGTGAAGAGTTTCAAAAACAGTAGCCCATACATGCACAGCAGTGACGGTTATCAAGGTGGTTAAGAAGTAAATAAAAGAAGCAAAGGAGAGGGGGAAAAAGGACAGAACAGCCTTGTACACCCGCTGGTTTTAAAGCATACCTCTGCCGTCAGTAACTACTGACAATCTGAACGAGGACCACAAAGGCAGACTGTATGAGAGTGTGCACACAATGTAGCATGTATGGCAAAATTGTGGGGGGCCTGAATACAAAAAAGATTACCTTTATGGTAAGAATTAACGTATGTAGAGGGACATACTTTGATAGTGACATCGGTCATCCTGTGGCTAGTCTAATCCTGTGCATTCTAATGCATCAGCAGGCATACAATCACATTTACTACATTACAGGCAATATTAACAGTTTATTCTAAGCAATTGGTGTAAACAGATAAACGTACATACATATATACATACATAAAAGCCCCCAAACCCCCTCAAGAGACTGTCTGAAATCAAAGTAATGGTAGATGGGGTCACAAAAGTGACCGCAGGTCAATCTTTGGTAGGAACCGTCTTTGGTAGGGTTTGTTGGCTTTTACGTATCCGTATGAGTAATTACTTTATTTTTTACATATGTAAAGCTTTAGTGCAGTCATTTGCATATAGACAAAAGAGTTTACCTTTGCCAGCTCTGCCTACAGAAACATTGTATGTTGGCTCCCCTCCTTGACTCTTTGTCCTGATGTCCATAGTCCAGTCTCCATCAATCTGCAGGCTGTCTCTGATCACAGAGCATTTCTTTTTCCCTAGGGTCAGCCCGTTGGTGAAGAAGGCCTCACGGTCTTTGCCGATTAGGACATCGATTTCATCAGCCTACAGTCAGGGGACGGCAGGAGGAGACAGCTTAGAGCTTTACGGGTTAAAGCGCACCATGCGACATGGTTAGAAATGTTTATTTTGAACTTTTAATGCTTTTCTACTTTTATAAAATGATCGTTTGTCAACGATATGTTGCAAACAAGACACTTCTAGTCGAACATCGGTGATGAGGCCTGTTAACCAAGTGCGCCAAGCTGCAAGTAGCTCAGCATCACAGTTAGGGATTTTGGCCTATGATTACAATACCTTTGTACTGGTGGAGGCCAAAAAAAGGTATCATGATACTACAAGGCATTTTCATTATTATTCTGATTTATTAAGTTGGGAAAGACTTAAAAGAACCTGTAGTACCAGAATTTATAATAGTAATAAACTTACAACAATTTTTGTTTAATGTTTCAAAAAAATGCACTAAATCCAATTAAACGGGCCTAATTATGCTGTTTGTAATGAAGCATGCAGTTGGTCAGAGTTCTTTAAGTACTGACAATATCCACAATATGCTAAAAAGAGTATTGTGAATTTATCACAATAAGAACTTATTGCCCACCCCTACTTTGCACTACCAATTTTTATTATTCCCTGTGTCCACTTTTATAATGTTCAAATAAAAGAAACTGTTGATCTGATCTTTAAAACAAGCTAAAAGTAGCTCAACACCCCAAAAACAAGTAAAATTTTAGCTTTTTCTACTCTCCTTAACAGCAAATGACTCAATAGAAGGGTTTGCTGAGATTAATCATTGAGCCACACTTTAGTTTGGTACACAATGTGCCAATTATTTAATTACACATTCACAATTTACAACATTTTAAATAATTAATTGTTCCTTAACAGTGCAAAGAAAGTTAGGTAAAGAACTTATCAGGCTTTGGTGAAAACGTTTAACAATTACCATGCTTAGCTACACTCAAAAGATGGTTCTTCAGTACAGGGAGTGGTTCCATTTAGAACCACTTCATGCTTAAACAGTTCTCCGCATGGTGAAACGGTTCTTCAAATTGATGAAGAATGTGTGGTATGCTTCTGTACGAAATCCTTTTGAAGGAGAAGCATTTTTGGCGACGAACTGAACCACATTCTTCAATCTGACAAACCTTTTAAGCATGAAATGGTTCTATACAGAACTGTTCCCCATATTAAAAAAAAAAAAAAACCTTTTTAAAAGTGTACATATAAGGCCTGTTTGTTTCCCGGATCATCCAGCTATAATCCTCTATCTAATACACAAAAGGATCATTAGAAAAACTTGGTTGTTTGTAGGAAGTCTTGATTCCCTTCCCAGGGTGTTACCGCACAGCCATTTCCTCCTTCCACCTTGTGTAAATGAGCATGGCCTTACCCAGAGCCATGCCCAACTCCATATTAGACCAAAAAAAGGGACGCAGTGCGGGTCAAAGATTAAAGTTACGACCAACGACCAACAACCAACTTTTAATCTTATCGAGAAAGGCCAAGTTACGAGTTTCGTTCTTTTGTGGAAAAAGGAGGGGTGGTGGAAAAAAAGAGAAAGAGTGAATAAATGGGAGACAGGACGCCATCTTTGAAAGCCGACGCGGGCTGTGTTCCTGTAAGCGGAGAGAGAGAGGAGGAAAAAAAAAAAAAGAAAAGAAAGGAAAGGAAAGAAAGAAAAAAGAGAGTCTGCCCAGGCACCACGCCTAACCAGCTTATCTCCGGCATGATAAAGCTAAGGAGAGGGAGAAAGAAAGCGTGTCTAGATGATTCCATGATAAAACCTTGGGATAAAAAAAAAACATCCAGACCATGTGCCGGGGTTAAAAACGAAGAAATAAAAGACCCATCACCCTTTTCGAGCATTTACAGTCTATTAATCGAACCTATCGGGCGGATAAGGGAAGAAAAACGGGCTCTTTATTCTTCCTGTGCCGCCTATCCCACGTTTTTTTGCCTCAGATAGCCATCAATGAAAGGCAGCGCTAACGTTAGCCAGCGCTGTTAACGTTAATTCAGCATTTCTCATTGACGAAACTGACCCAAATCGCCGCTGACCTGCCTCGTAACGCTATCTTTGCATCCACGTACACATTTTTGGCGGTGTTTTGATTCCGTTTTCGCCATTTGTTTAAGATAAATAACGTTGTGTCAAGGCCTCGCCGTCACCGCTAGCGCGGCCTACTCGACCAGCTTAGCGTTAGCTTAGCCTAGCCTAGCCCATTCGCTCGAGTGTGGCAAAGCGATAAACGTTTTTAGCTCCCTTTTAGCCCGTTAAGTGTGGAAAAAGTGGCGTTATAAGAGCAGAATTGGTGCTCAAAACTCAAGAAAAGACGCATTCCTTTGTCATGTGATGTGGCTGGCTAACGCTAGCGCGGCTAACGTTAAGGCTAACGTATTTTTTCCGTTCTTCTAACGGGTCGCGAAACGAATAAACACAGAGAAAACGGGAAAAATACGCGTCGACGGACGAACTAAAGTGTAAGTTAAGCATTCAGCTGAAAGGACGAGGCTGAAGTTTGGCTTCACACACGCCGGCGTCTTGTTCCACCTTAAATGGTGCGGCAGTTGCATTCTGGCGCCTGCGGCGTCCGACTGCCACTGCTGCACTATTTAAGGTGGAACGGGCAAATCCGAACACGAAGCCAGCCCGGCGAAGGAGGGAAAAGGTGCGGTGTTCAGACGACGGTGGAATAACGGTGATGTTCGGGTGTTAATCCGTGTAAAATTCGTACCGTTATGCCGCTGAAAGTGCCGCCCTCCGACGATGCCCAGACGTATTTGGCGTCCGTGTAACCGACGATGGCGGAATCCTGGCAGCTGCCGTCGGCCATCAGGTTATCCACGTAGCTCTGCCAAGACATGGTTCTTTTTTTTGTGCGGGGGTTTTTTGGTTGTTTTTGTTCACGACGCGAGGCTCCGAGCGAGGTTTAGAGACTCAGCTGAACCACCAAAGTCGAGTGCCGGACCGAGGTTTTGTCCGTCTGCGGCGGCTTTAGTGTTTTTTTTTCTCTCCTGCTGGGGAAGAGAGTGAAAGAAAGAGAAGGAGGGAGGGAGAGAGAGAGAGAGACACGGGCGGGCTGAGGCGGCGGCTGCGCTTTGGGTGTAGTCCCTGCGCATATCCCTCCGCGCAACTGACTGATTCCACCACACGGATTCGCACAATCCAGTCGTGAACGTTTTCCCAGTTCTGCCTCCTTAAACAGGGCGCTTTGGCCCTTTTCCCACACTCTAACGCTCCACTCCCCTCTTCAGCTCATTCATTCTGCTCGGTAACAGCCCCAAACCTCTTAAAACAATGTGCTTTCAACGTCACTCTAGTGTCCCAGTCCGGCTCCACTGAGTTCCCTCATTCACTGCACATTTTTGCGCTTTCTCCACTCCCAACGCACCTGATCCGCCTCATCTGCTCATTGATGAGCCTTTCCCGAGGATAAAACGGGACGTTAGAGTTGGGAAAACGCTGGATGGAACAGGATTGGGAATACACTGCTGGACGGCGGCGGAAGGGAAGAGCACCACCAAGAAAGTAGTCCCCTTTCTGACTTCTTCAGAAGTCTCCAATTCAGACTACAGAGATTACGGTGGTTCTAATTTTCCGCTTCAGGGCACAAACTGGATTTTTTGGTTTTTGTAATAAATCGTTTAAATCGCAACCGTGACATCAATCATGTCAAACCGTCTCATAAAAAACAGGGTTCTTCAAGACAGTGGTTCTAGAAAGCACCATGAACACCATGAACAAATAATCATTTGTGTGCTCAAATAGTTGTTTGTATAGTGAGAAAGTTCTTTAGACCGATGGAGAACGTGTTGCAGATGGTTCTATAGCGAACCTCACTCTTAAAAAAATGGTTCTTTAGTACAGACAGTGGTTCTATAAAGAACCATGAATACTTAAAGAATCATTTGTGCTTAAATGGTTGTTTGTATAGTGAGAAGATTCTTCAGACTGACAGAGAACGTGTTGTAGATGGTTCTGTAGAGAACCTCACTCCTTAAAAAGATGGTTCTTTAGTACAGACAGTGGTTCTATAAAGAACCATAAATACTTAAAGAATCATTTGTGTGCTTAAATGGTTGTTTGTATAGTGAGAAGCTTTTTCAGATTGATGGAGAACATGTTGTAGATGGTTCTAAATAGCACCTTACTCTTAAAAAATGGTTCTTTAGTACAGACAGTGGTTCTATATCGAGCCATGAGCACTCAAAGAACCATTTGCATGCTTAAAGGGTTCTTTGCATGGTGAAATGGTTCTTTAGATTGGTGGAGTATGTGTTGTAGATGGTTTTATTTAGAACCTCACCACTAAAAAAAGATGGTTCTTTAGTAAAGACAATGGTTCTTGATGGAAAATGTGTTGTAGCTATATGGTTCTACATAGAACCTTCTTTGAAAAGATTCTGTCTAACACCAAAAAAGGTTTCAAGTTTGACATCGTAACAATAGTAGGACCCTGTTTTGGTGCTATATAGAACCATTTTCATATACAACACATTCTCCATCTACCCGGAGAAGCATTTCACCATGCAAAGAACCGTTTAAGCATGGTTCTATACATAAAGAACCCTTGAAGAACCGTCTTTATTTCAAGAGTGTATGTTTAGGCTTAGCTAGGTTTAGGTGAAAGTGTTGTTTGAGCACTTTGGTGGTTTGTTTAATAAGATACTTAGTCCACATTTAATAAATAATAAAATGGTCTTATAAAGCTTTATGAACTCGGGATATTTAATACCTGTGAAATTTGCCATTAGAAGTGCTGCCCTTCAAATAGCCCAGTGTCCTTTGCATCTAATACAATGTCCACACCTTATATTAGACCTGGGGTGTACAACTCCAGGCCTGGACAACTGATTCGACTCATTTGTTAAAGGGGAATTCCACCAATTTTTCAAAGTGTCTGCATAATTCAGTGCTTTAGATGTAAACAGAGTCATTCAGAGTGGGTTTGGTGTTCAATGGCTCATTGTAGAGACTCAGATTTCTGATAGGAACCAGGAGTCGCCATGTCTACAACACAAATATAGACATTTTATTTACTATCCAAAACCACCAGTGAACCTACACGAGTCTTCTGAGTTTATATGGAATGTTAATGATGGTAAAATAATGGAAAATCTGAAATAATAAGTTTTCTTTAGGGACTATTTTTCCTTAGAGCACCCTTCATGTATACCTCCACCATGAACGGGTTAAAAAAATGGATTAAAATAAGTTTTATGTGTAAGACATCAAACTTTCTGTGAGGCAGCTTTTAGAGGTGGACGTCTGGTTCCCATCACCGCCTCTGTGAACAGTTCTGACTCGGTAAGTTTCTCTGGAACGGAGCGTTTCACACCAAACAGCTCGGAACGACTCTGTTTACATCTTAACCACTTAATTATGCTGAAATCCTGAAAAATCAGTGGAGCTCCACTTTTATTGCCAGGGTTAGTGGGTGTGCTTGAGCACAGGAACCACACATATGTCCTTATATTCTGTGCAAACATCCATTTTGTCTCAGAGTATTTGTTAAAGTTGTAGGCTAAAGCTGGCTATTGTCCTAAATTCAGTCTACACAGTTTGTCTTTGCTTTCAGCCGAGTGATCTGGCCGGCTTTAGAGCGTGCTAGCTGCATTAGCACCACAGCCCAGAGAACATGACAAACCTGGGCGTGTTTCTGCACTGAGGCAAAGGTCTCTAGGTGGACACCTGGTGAACGCCTTGAAAAAGCAAACGTTAACTTGAGGTGGGATTCTCCCCACGATACCGTCTGAGCTGATAAGGTGAACTTGTTGTTCGGAAATATGGAGTGCATTGCATGTTGTATGTGCTTGGGAAGTAAGTTTGGGGTAATTGTGAAAATAGTGGGTCTCAGGCTGCTTTTTTAACACTATACACACTCATATGTCCACTATCTCGGCCCATTTACGCTCCAGACTACATTACGTTAATCACATGGGTGTATATCGCTCACCTAAAGAACAAACACAGCTCACATCTGCCACTTTTTTCAACTACACCTACAATCAAAGACTCATTCCAATCATTTCAGTGTGTGCCCAGTATGTGGAGATAACATGTGAGGCTTGTGCAGGTCAAAATGTCCATAAAGGATTCGAGGCTGGGAGTGAAATAAGGCCCCCATTCACAAACACGCTGCAGCCTTTCCTCATAGATCTTTCTAGAATCCACAAAGTGTTGCCTGTCCCTCGCTGAAGCGAGGCATTGTAACACTTCCTGCTTTTTCTCCAGGCTGGTTTATGGTCGGGACTTTTCCCTCTCGCCATGAGAATGTGCTGCATGGCAGGAAACCACTTAGAGCCGGCTAGTCATGTGCATGGGAGGGACTTCCTCGAGGAGAAGAGTGGACGTACGCTAGAACACAATCTGAAACTTTTATCTCAGGACAGCTGAATTATCTGCTCGGTCAATCTGCGGCCTGCCTCGAGGTGACTGTTACTTCTGAGATTATAGATTATAGTCTGTGGTTTTCTGCTCTGAGGGATATTAGGCAGTCTGAGATGCGGCTGAAGCGCAGCATGCAGAAACAATGGAAGAGCCACAGGCCTCAGTGGACAGATCACCAGATGATAATAACACGACATTTATTATAATGACAGGCACAACAGCACAGGACACAGTGTGAATGCATTCATAGCGTCATTCATGATTCATGACGCGTAATAAGAATCACACATTCTCTAGTAAAGACACTGGTTCTGCATAGAACCATAAACACTCAAAGAAGTTCTTTGTTTGGTGGTTTTTCAGACTGATGGAGCAGGTGTTGTGTATGGTTCTATATAGCAGCACAAAAGGGTTCTATTGTTACAAGCTTGACATGGTAACAATCGAAGAACCCCTTTTGGTGCTATACAGAATCATTTTCAAAAAGGTTCTTCATAGAACCATCTACAACACATTCTCTATCAGTCTGAGGAATCATTTCACCATGTAAAGGACCCTATAAGTATGCAAAGGGTTTGTTGAGTGTTCATGGTTTCATATAGAACCATTGTCTTTATATAGAACCTATAGAACCATCTACAACACATTCTCCACCATGCAAAGAACCTTTAAGCGTGCAGTGTTCGTTTAGTGTTCATGGTTCCATATAGAACCGTTGTCTTTACTAAAGAACCATCTTTTTTAATTTGATGTTTTATATAGAACCATCTACAACACATTCTGTATCAAGCTGATGAACCATTTCACCATGCAAAGAACGCTTTAAGCATGGTTCTTTGAGTGTTCGTGGTTCTATATAGAACCACTGTCTTTACTGAAGAACTAGCTTTTTTTAAGAGTTAGGTTTTATATAGAACCATTCTACAACACATTCTCCACCATGCAAAGAACCCTAAACATATGCAAAGGGTTCTTTAAGCATTCATGGTTCTATATAGAACCATTGTCTTTACTAAAGAACCATCTTTTTTAAGAGTGAGGTTTTACATAGAACCATCTACAACACATTCGCTATCAGTCTGAAGAACCATTTCACCATGCAAAGAACCCTAAAAGTATGCAAAGGGTTCTTTGAGTGTTCATGGTTCTATATAGAACCATTGTCTTTACTAAAGAACAATCTTTTTTAAGAGTGAGGTTTTACATAGAACCATCTACAACACATTTGCTATCAGCCTGAAGAACCATTTCACCATGCAAAGAACCCTAAACATATGCAAAGGGTTCTTTGAGTGTTCATGGTTCTATATAGAACCATTGTCTTTACTAAAGAACCATCTTTTTTAAGAGTGAGGTTTTATGTGTTATATATGTTATATGTAATTTAAAAAGCCAGCATTGGACAGATGTTTAGATTTCACTAATATTTCAAAGCAATATTTGATGTTGTATTTATTGTACTTATTTATTATACTCTTGATATATTTTCTAAATGCCATAGTGATAGATCCCTAATGCGAATAACTTCTAAATGGTATGATATGATATGATATGATATGATATGATTTGATATGATGAATCATGCTTAATATGACCAGGTACATGAACTAACAAAAGCAAAAGTATTATCATTTTAAAGCACAGAGTCCAAATACTTGAGTACTTGTAACTGAAGAAATG